TTTCTTTCTTTAAGAATATATTTATTTCTCTCACGTATTGAGATTTGTGTTATATGCTTATCGAATATATTTATTTCCATTAAATAACACGACACCGCGATAAGTCGAGTTTGCATTGTTAAATCGGATTGCGACAAACTAAGAATATACTCCACAACTGAGCATTTGATTTTGTGTATGTTTTTTTATATATTGTTTATATGTCCATTTATATGATCTTTATTTATATTTACATGAATTTTCTATGTTGTTTTTGTCTTTATTATTTTTGTGTTTCTTTTATGCATTTCTATGTGTTTTTTTTACATTTTGATATATTTTTTATATGTATTTTTCAATAATCATATGCACTTCATGTCTTTAAAATGTATTTTCGTTTGTTTTAGCATAATATATATTTTTGTTTGTTTCAGCATGATATATATTTTTGTTTGTTTCAGTATAACACACATTTTCATGTTTCAGCTTTGTACATTTGTATTATGCACTTTTATTGATTTTTTATTTAAAAATTTATTTGTGTGATTTAATGTTTATACGTGTGGAATTTGCACTTATACGTTTACTTTGTGAATTTATGTCCATGAAAGATGTCTTTTATAATGTGATAACGATGGCGATTTTATTATTTATACTCGAGTATCGAGATACTTAAATATGAATAATTTCACCAACATTTATTTTAAAATATTTTTGACGTGTTTTGACGTTTGAATATATATTTTGATTCATATGTTTTGTACACATATTTTGTACATGTTTAATTTTTTATCTTTTTCGGAAAAAGATAACATATAACAAATATTTAGTTTATATCTGTGTAATGAAATGAATGTTTCATTTCGCGATTCTAATTGATTTACTTTTATCGATATATGAGATGGAAAGAGGCACGATATTAAAAATAAGTATGAATATTCTGATGTTCCGTTTCTATCGAAATGAATTATTGATTTTTGATAAAAGATATTTAAAAAAGAATTTTTCGAATTATTAATAATTTACTAAAGATATTACAATAAGATTTTTGTAATTTTTAATATTTTACTAGTATTTTTGTTTGGTATAATTTTATTGAAATGAGATGGAAAGAGATAATCATGAGAGCGCAATATCAAAAGTAAATGATTGCGAGTGTTTTTGTAATGTGTATATTTCTTGTCTAATATTGTTTTTTGCAAAAGAGAATGCTAGCGAAGAAAGAATTTGATCAATACATATGGGAAGAATATTGTGATAGATATATGTATATATGTTTTCTCAAGATTTTTTTCATTATTTCGATTTCAATTGAATTTAATTAATTTTGTTGAGGAGATGCATATAAAATGTGGCGGCGAGAGTAAATGATTATGAATGTTCTTCCGATCGAAATAAACTATATTTTTTGTCTAATGTTTTGATTTCTCGCGAAAGAGAATGTTGGAGAAAAGGAATT